TAATTGGTCATCTTGCCTGAATAATACAAGAGGCATCATTCAGGCCACCTGTTCCCCATCCATGCCTCATCTTTATGGCACAACCACATTACATACCTTTGCCCTAGTAACCTGTACACATCAAATAGTAAACCCAATTCCTTTTTCCTCGTCGCCATACCCCAAAGAATGAACTAGCATGCACGCAAACGTAAACGCATACATGAACATGTATACATGCATAAACACACACTTTCGAGAATCTCGCGCAAACTGTTCGTTCCGGCCACGAGAAGACCTTTGTTTTTCCGTCTCCTCAGCTGATTTGTCAGGCCCTTTTTTTGTACTTGATGGCAGCATGTCGTTCGTCCGGTCGGTCGGTGGTGCGTGATGCCGATCGGGGATGAAGTTCTTATAAATGATGCCGCGTTCGAGGCCACAAAGTGCATAGGGTTGTGCGTGAGAAGAAAGTGGTAGATCATGGATTGTTGAGCCTGCCAAAGAGCCCGACTGATATGGTTTGCACGAGTGTGGACAATCGTAGTAGGTTGATAAAGGCGCCTTCTAAAATTATTGCTGGTCTTTGAATCTTTGTTCACCTGTCATGCAGGCCTTTTTGTGCACCGACTAACACAATCTTATGATCAGTTAATCTGCTCCAGCCAGGGCAGAAGTTCGCGTTGGAGACAAAGATGGTCTAGTCCGATAAACACCGGAGGCTGGTTGAACCGGTGGTCATAAGGCTTGAGGAGAACGCCAGATTGGCGTTGTACACAAGTTGAGCAGTTGAGGCGAAATTGGCATGACGAGGCTAATCTGGGGTCGGGAGGGGGGATATGAGGCGACCAGGAAAACGAGGATAGGGCAAACCCTTGAAAGTGATATACCAAATCATGACACATCGTGGATAACTTGCACAAATTGTAGAGGCCCTTGAAGTGAAGAGGAAAAATGAGCTATGCCCCAAGCTATCCTACAGACAACAATGCTCTTAACGAATAAATCACTCCGTAAACCGATCCTGAGGCAAAATAATTTTATAGTCTTAATTCAAGTTCGTCAAGAATTAAAAGGCCTTTGTCCTCATAAGCGTCCCAAAAAGTGAATTATAATGTTAACTGGAAGGGCTGGAGTAAAAAATGTCATCTGATCTGGCCGAACTAGGCTGCCCTAGCTTAAAATTGTCATATGTATTGCCATTATGAATGCAGCACATACTAAGGTCCTAATATATAATAATGTTGTATATATATTTATATATATAATAAGAAGCAAACTTTTGAAGGTTCTCTTGCTAGGCTCTCGTCATTGGATCCTTCAATCC